GTTTATATTCCCATAATTAAACACAACGACATCGGTGTTTATTCTATACAAAAACACTACGACATCGGTGTTTATTCTATACATATAAGCCTTGCTTGATAGGTTTAACAGCTTTTCGAATTCGACAGCATGTCACAAGGCGAGGATGCACAGTGATCCTGAGTCCTGACTATAACCATAACCCGGTTGTTGGCAGAGTCCCGGCCTTGCGACCATTTGAACCGGATGGGGAAAAACACCCGGTTCGGTGTGGTTGACCTTGGAATTTTTGCTGATAAACAATATTAGCAAAAAAAACAAAAACATTCCAAGGTTGCGCCTAGAAAAAAGAAGGTGCGAACCGGGATTTTCTCCCCAAAAGGTTCAAATGGTCGCAAGACCGGGACTCTTCCAAGAAGGTTAGGGTTGTAGTGAGGAGCGCTGTGCGTCCTCGCCTTGCAACATTCTGTCGACTTCCATTTGCAGTGTGTACACCAAGTCGATAGCCACTTGTACACCCATGTACTCGTACGTGTTCGTGCACACTATCTATATATGCGTGTATACGATGACAATGCGGAGCAACAGAGACCGATATCTTTCCCGTGACTCTGAGTTCCATGTTTAAATACTCTGATCCGAAAATGAGCACCTCATTTTCCGGAGTATAAACCGCACTGGAGTATGGGTCGCACCCTCCATTTTCCGCCACAAAAATACAGATCTCTATCCTATTTGGATCATTTTGCATAACCATTTGGAGGTTTTGTATTGTGGCGACCCTATCTTAGACTAGATCGGTCGCAGTGGCCAAGATGCTTTATGTATTTTAGGCAATCCGTACTGCCGTGGACGGGCCGAGCCAGTCGGTCTCATGCGCAGATATTCCATTGATATTTGCGCCAACGTGCTCTATCCTATTTTTATCACCGTTAATTTGATTATCGGAGTATAAGTGCGGTTTGTACTCCAGAAACGGAGCCGAGACCTCTGGTCGGCTGAGCTTCATGGGCCCCACCATCACACTCCACCATTCACCCCCAGTGTCTGGAGATATGTGGATTTTGTAGGAAATAGATGCGGTATGTGTGCTCACAATCTGTGTGTTCTGCTTCTGGTATGTTGGTGTTGTTTCTGTAGGCTGCTGTTGCCGTCATCCTGATCGTGTTCCGAGCCCGCGGTGGACCAGCAGGCACAGCGGGTCCGGCATAGGGACCTACCAGCCTCAGTTTTCGATCACGCGTCCGCATGTGTGTGCACGTGTGTATGTGTTGACTGCTCGGTGTGCGAGACCTTTTCCACATCTCATCACGGCGCGACAGATCTACCCCACGGCTGGTTTAGTCAAGTGAATGCTCCGTCGGTCTTTCCTCGTTTTCTCCGTCTGTCTATCTGTCTGCCTGCTTGCCTGTTTGTCTGCCTTTTTGTTTGTTTGTCCCCATGTCTGTCTCTCTTTCTCTCTGTCTGGTTGTAGATGTGTCTGTATGTCTCCCTCCTCCCACCTCCTCCCACCGCTTTAGGAACTGCATCTGCGCATTGATGCTTGAAGGGTGGTGGCGTTCCTACGGACGCGGAAAACTCGGCCTCTAGCCGAGTCTGACGTGAACCGTGAATTCATCTTTCTTCTGCTGTATGTCTGTATGTCTGTCTGTCTGTCTGTCTGTCTGTCTGTCTGCCTGTCTCTTTCTCTCTCACTTCTCTCTCTGTGCCTGCTGGTCATCCTAGGACACAGTCCGTACGGTCGCGATGCATACAGCATGCATTTTGGACCTGTGTGCTTTTATAATTCTTTATCTGATCCATTTCAGCGGATCACCATTATCATTGAGATTGGCTGCATATCGTATGAACAAATATTGCCTATAATTTCCTTTTCTGGCACTACAGCATCATATAACTGCACCCCCCCCCCCCGCACCTCCCAGCGAAATCGTTATATTGCTCTTTTTTGTCTCTCTACGGCGAATCCTACGACAATTCTGAATGTTTTACTTCAAGTGCCGGTACTTACACTGCACTAGTTGTGATGAAGCACTTCCAAACCGTCCAGCGTAGAGGGAACAGGGTCTGAAGAAGAGTGTCACCACTGGTACTACTGCCAGTACTGGAGTATTAGGTGCACCTGCCATTCGAAGGTGCCGAGACCTCTAGTCGGTTGGGCCCCATCAGCACCATCTCACCCCATGCTAGCCCCATGTGCCTGGCGGTGAGTTGGGTATCTTGTAAAAATAAAAGTCCGAACCAACCTATTACAGTCACACCTGTCTGGGCGACCACTTGGATAAGGCTACCACCTGTCCTAGAAGACCACAAAAACCAGGTTGAAGGGATGCCATTTCCAGTCGAATGACCCTGGATAAGAGGACCGCTGAAACCAGGTTCAAGGGGTGCTATTTCCAGTCGAATGACTCTGTAACCACTGACTTCAAGGGGTGCTATTTCCAGTGAAATGACCCTGGATAAGGAGACCATCTGGTAACAGAGACCAGGTTTTGAAGGTCCCTTGAGCGGTCGTCTTAGACAGGTTTCAGTGTACATGGTCTCTTTGCCTTCAGCAGCGCATGGACGGTGAGACCAGGGCATAGCTTAAGGTGGCTCCTACCCCTTGGGTCCAAATTTTTTTTGTTTGAAACGTGGCTACAAACGATTGTACTTTGTTCCGTAGGATATCTAGTGTACGGAGACAAAATTTTATCAAGTTCTACCGGCCGGTTTCACTCGGGGGAGGGGCCAAACATAGCATACTCACAATTGCCAATTTAGGCCAAAAAACACCGGAAAACCACTTTTTTGGCCGTAGTACTCGTAGTTACCCCATTTTTCTTGATGTCCAACATCAGGACAGTAGGACAGTAGGACAGTAGGACAGTAGTATACTTGCTAAATATCAGCATAAGCTGTAGAAGTGGGTAGAATTCTGCTAGAAGGTGACCTTTTTCTCTTTTCGGAATCATCCCATTTCAGCGCACACGTCCCTCATATTAGCCCCGCCCACAAGTATTTGACACTGGACTTGCCCTGTATTCGATGGTTATGCTACTATAACCTAATAATGGTACTGTGTAGCAAGTTTGAGCAGGTTCTACCGAAGGTAACTCGTGAAATAAAACTTTGAAGTTTCAAGTGATGCCATATTTCAAGAATCAGCACATTGCACTGGGACATTGTCCAACGCCTTAGAACCCCTGACTCCACCACATGACAGATACGTGTCTTACATTACTTGATTGCAACATCTTCTGAACATAGTAGTAGAGCTTTGGATCAAGTTTTAGCAGTTTCCACAGAAGCCAACTACCAAAATAGAACTTTGAAGTCGCCCACATACTAAATGCCATAGCTGAGCATGTGCATTGAGTGTATGGTCTAAAGGTTTTCACAACTAGCTCCAATGCGGCAGATACGTGTCTTACATTACTTGATTGCAACATCTTCAGAACATAGTAGTAGAGCTTTGGATCAAGTTTAGACAGTTTCTACCGAAGCAAACTACCAAAATAGAACTTTGAAGTCGCCCACATACTAAATGCCATACATGTAGCTGAGCATGTGTATTGAGTGTACATGTATGCTCTAGTGTTTTTCACAACTTTCTCCAACATGAAGCCGATAGTGATGTGGAATTTGTTGACTGCTTTGTCCAAAACATAGTGCTGAAGCAATGCACATTGGGCACTTTCTACTGGTATTGTAATTATTATATTATACAGTGTTTGCTGCCAACATAGCAAGAAATTCTTCTATACTAAATGCGTATTCCACGGGGTACGGTCCAATGGCTTTTCACTTCACATCTAGCCACTGTTCTTCGTGCATTATTTGAATGCTTAGTCTCCGTGGTAATGAAGCTAAGAGCCACACTGGAGAAGTTTCTACTGAAGCTAACTATCAAAAATATAAATTTTCCAAGATGCTACTATTACATCAAGTAGCTGTGTGCAATGCCACTCTGTTGAACACAGTAAGGAAAATCGAGTCACTAAACCCCTATTTGCCAGATACATGCTGTTGAGACTGATAGCAGCTGTATGATCTAATATGGATGGCGGTTCCACACTGACCAGCACATGTACACGCACACAGGCAGAAGAACACACAAGTAATACACCTAACGTTACTTCGAAGTACACTGTGTACATCATGTAAATACAAGCGTATATGCAAGCATCACTCCTGTTCTCCACAACCGGCAGTCCTGGGCCACTCTAGCTGGTCAGAGTGCAATAATTTCTGCAGCAGGCTTGACTTGGAAAGCTAATCACAACTGCCATGGCTGCAACATGAGTATTACCAGCGCTTTTACAGTGCTACTTGTATTATAATTATTATTGTCAATCCATTGTGGTGCATGGCACTCGTTTTCAACAACTGAGTTTATGTCATTAGTTGCATATCCAACGCCAGCAGAAAAAGCGGGGGTGGGGGAAAATTACCACGGTTCAACACTAGTCATATTGAACGGCGTTATGCCATGCCAGGCGCGCACACAAAACGCCCGCGCGAGCGCGCATGCATGTACACACCCGGGTGACACATTCATGCGACTTCATAGCCTGCACTGTCGTTCTATGTCATAGGAGTGAGTGCACACACATATATATGTACATGTAGATTGCCTAATTTTGCATACGTAATAAAATTGTATATGTATACACACATGTGCGTGCACATATAGATAAAGTCAACGGCATACGCATGAGTGTGTGCCAGTAGGGCCACATGCCAATTATCGGAATAGTCTGTGAAAGTTGCACGGCACGACAAACTTTCGGACAGTCTAAAGATATGACACAATGAATGTGGAATACCCTCCAGTGTGTAAGACCATTTCATATCTATTTCGCAGCGTTTGTGATTTTCCAAGCGTCCCTGTTGATATTTTGATGTCCTCACTTGGTTGATGACACAGTCACAAATTATCAAATTCACCTCCAATGCCATCCAATCTGCGTTCCGCGATACATGTACAGTGAACGGTGTTGAGGAAAGCCATGCAGCAATAAAACAGTCGCTGAGACTCCCAAGCAGAGGATACAATTCAACAGCGTATTGAAGTACGAATTGTTCTAAACAATTTTCAAGACACAATTACAAAATTTGAAGTGCGTCTTGAAACGTGTTTGAAGTGCTTCGATGTATTTACCTTCGATCTCCCTGAATCGATCCATCCACAGCTACCTGACGAATTTGCTAGTCAGTGCGGGAGATGATCGAGCAAGTAAAATATTTGAAGGTCGCGAGATGTCAGTGGCACTGGCAGGAAATCTACACAAGCGTGTTCAGAAAATTTTCTAATACTCAGGCATGATTCAAGAGCGGACTTTGATTTCTCCCTTCTTCTGGTACGAGCACCAGTCGACATTGCATTCTTGGAAAATCTTCTGCCAGTGCTGCCTTCCCCTTTCATAGAAAGAACGAGTGAAGAGGGACACTAGCAGCAGGTTCTAGCTAGGTCGCCAGAATTGCAGAAAAGCGAGAAGACGTTTCCTACAACGATTGATCGCACAAAAATCATCGCTACCGAAAAATTTACTGAAAATCTACACTTTTCAAACGATGCGCGCGCAGAGGGTGTGAGCCACCTTAAAGGGGAAGTATACCCTAAAATCAAATTTTCACCAGTTGTAGTCTTCTGGGTGCTGAGTCGAATGGTCGTGGTCCGAGGAAGCTGCGACGCTCCCTTCCTACTTGAATCCCAATCGAACTCGCGCACTTCCACCGAAACTGGGTGACTGCGCCCTACTAGATGGGGATTTGTATGCAAAATGTCACTAAAAGCGCCATTTCGTTCTTATAAAAGCACGGATGACCGCGATTGGCCCATATGTTGTAGTCTTTTGGACGCTGAGTCGACTGGTTTTGGTCCGAAAAGGCTGCGATGCAGCGTTCCTCCTTTATTCCCAATCGAACATGGTTGAACAAGCGGTCACGTGCTCCTGGGTGCCCAAATCACCTGGTCACCGCGCCAGCAGGCGACAACTTTCACACCAAGGTTCAACTCGAGTTCAACTCGAGTGACAGGACTGCACCCAAAAAAGGTCAAACAGGCTAGTAAGTTGTACCCTGCAGGCACGGTGACCAGGTGACTGGTGTACGCAGGAGCACGTGACCGCTTGTTCAACCATGTTCGATTGGGAATAAAGGAGGAACGCTGCATCGCAGCCTTTTCGGACCAAAACCAGTCGACTCAGCGTCCAAAAGACTACAACATATGGGCCAATCGCGGTCATCCGTGCTTTTATAAGAACGATATGGCGCTTTTAGTGACATTTTGCATACAAATCCCCATCTAGTAGGGCGCAGTCACCCAGTTTCGGTGGAAGTGCGCGAGTTCGATTGGGATTCAAGTAGGAAGGGAGCGTCTCAGCTTCCTCGGACCAAGACCATTCGACTCAGCACCCCGAAGACTACAACTGGTGAAAATTTGATTTTAGGGTATACTTCCCCTTTAAGGATTTCATTTAGCTCGGACAAATGTCCTTCCGTTTTGAAATCTGTCCGGACATGCCCGGACATTTTCCACAACACATTTTCAGGGTGTTTCTTTTTTTTAGTAGCACTGAAGTATATTCACAATAACTCATTATGTAGACGTATCTCACACATTACTATGTACAATTCGCCAATTTATTTGTATTAGAAACTGAACTATTTACTGACGACAAATGTATGTACAAGAAAGCGTTGCAGTCAAGAATTTTGCGAACGCGATATGCTCCTTGCAGAGAAGGTAAGTCAGTTCGAATTTGCGTCGTGCAATAGCGGCAGCACCATCGTCCATCTCGCACAGTGCCTTCGCAATTTGACCGAATTCGAGGGCACTTCGAGCGGGACACTCTTGCCTGCGGAAAAGATTCATTCCTCGTTTATGCATCTCCGTTCCAGCATGATCCTTGAACGCTGATGTTCTCAGGTTCTTGGATCCGGTTATGAAAGCCTCGCTGAAGTTTTTACAACTGCGGACTCTGTCTACAAACTTGATGCACACGGAACACTTCAAACATTCTGCTAACAGCCGATCGTTCTTCTGCCGGTCATAAATCAGCCAGGCGGAAGTAGTCAGCTCTGCATCATTGTCCGAGATCCACTTATCAAAAGTAGCGGCCTTCACACCACGGACTTTTTTTGCCCGGCGGCGAGTCCTCTGAATCTCCCTTTCGCTTTCCAGAAGACATTCTAAAAGACTATCTGCATTCCTGGTCAGTGAAAGAGTGAAAAATAAAAGATGACAATCATCTTCCTCTCAAGAGCGAACAACTGCACTGCAGGCATAGATTCAGGTGCGAAGTCGACACCATGCATGTGCCAAAGGTCGAAAGTGTGAATTGACTGTAGCAACCGCGTTGCTACAGGCGGATTATGGTGAAGTCTACGCCTGAGGGATCGAGGCTACGGTGTAGACGTGTTAGTTGTACGATATGCCCTAAGCTCCGAAGAAAGCCCAACTCTGCATTAAAAAGGTCGAAAGGTCGCTGCTCTTTTTTTCCTTTTTTGACCGGACACTATGTCCGGTGAAATTGAAAACGTCCGGTCAGTGGCCGAAAATGGCCGGAAAATGTCCGATGTCCGGCCGTTAATCTATGCCCTGTGAGACCAAACTACAGAGCAATGCAAGGAGCCCAGAGGCGTCACAGAGCAGGGAGGAATGGTACGACCAGAGGTCGGGGGTGTCCCTATGGGGGAGGGGGTAGGGTTTTTCGCCAACAGGGCACGTGTTAGCACCCAACAGGCGCTCTCTGGGGAGTCTGGGCGGACAATCCTGGATGAAAAGTGGGACATGTACAACAGGGAGTCGTAAAATACCGGTATTTTACGACTCCCTGGTGTACAACCATGGTCGTACTGGTCATACCGTGTGTGACGACCGGGCTGCTCAGCCCATTGTGAAAAGATGACATTGTAGCTTGTTAGGCCTCGGTCACACTACGGCAGTTTGAAGCTGGACGCAGCGTCAAGCCGCATAGCAGCACTTGACGGAGACGTGGGGTCACACAGTGTTTTGTTTTTTTTGCAGCTCATGACTGCCGCGGCTTGACGCATTTGTCTACGTCACAAAACCACCAGGAAAACTCAATGACGACACGGATTCCCACGGAAACCGGCCTTTTGCTTATTATACAAAAAAATTGTCGGACAAAGTTTTCGAATTTTTCATTGATTTTTGATTACAAGAAGACGAAAGGTACTAGGTCCACGCGTGCACGATCGTTGTTGTTTCTTTCCGAATTTGAAGCCATTTTCAGTTGTAGTGTCATTGATCAGGCAAGAAAAGTCCGCATCGCAGCTGTGTTTCTCCTGACTTCGTCATACTGGTTGTCCTTTTTGGGGCTCTTGACGACAACACAACACTCACAAGTCAACAGGCTCCAGTTGGCCGATGACCCACTCAAACAACTGGTCCTTTCTCGACATCATTTTCTTCTCAGAAAACGCCTCGCTCTTCCGCCAGGTTCGGAGCAGAGCAGCCTCGGCCTCGTAGGTCCACGGACTCATCTCGAACAAAAAGAGGGAACAAAACAAACCTTGAACAGACGAATGTCGAATAACTGCTCAACTCAAGCAAAGTGTCTTGAAACTAATTTTACTTGAAAGACACTGTTTTTCCGCCAAGCGTTAAGCGGGATTCACAGAAGCTTTTTTGCGATGCGACACGCGATGCGACAGCTGCGAAACCGGGAAATCCCCAAATCGCAACCATCGCGGACCCCACGCAACTGCCGCAACAGGGCCATCGCAGGCCATCGCAGAAGTTGAGCTTGGCTCAACTTTTGCGATGCGATGCGATGCGACAAGCGATTTGGTGTACGATTTTGACCTTTTCTACAGCAAAGTTGTACAAAGGTGCAAGAGTTGCCTAGAAATTTTTACAAGTTGTGTCAAACCGCGCGAATATCATGGTGACGTACCCAAATCAGCAAAACTTTGTCGCATCGCTGACTTCTTCTGTGAATGGTATTTCGCGAGTTCGCATCGCACGCATCCATCGCAGATCGCGTCGCATCGCGTGTCGCATCGCAAAAAAGCTTCTGTGAATCCCGCTTCACTCGTACTCCCATCAGCGGCAACGCAGCCGATTTCCCCACGTCAGACGCAGCAGCGTCTGACGCTCAAATTTCCCGCGTTGCGTCAGTTGCCATGGAAAAGCTCATGATTCTGACGCTGACGCAGCATTTTTGCCGTAGTGTGACCGAGGCCTAACTATCACGAACACGCAACACAGCCACCCGGGCCTGGTTGTGTACACTGCAGCATAGTGTAGGGTGTTGAACAGTGCAGTGTTGGCACGTATGCCACATAAAAGTCAAAGGAAAAAAAGAAGAAAAAATTAGAAAAAAACAAACGCACCGGAAAACGGTGACAGTACATGGGAATCATACATTCTACCTGCACGTCTACACAGTCATAGACATAATCAGGGAGTCGTAAAATACCAACTCACGGGTCATGATGAACTACGACAGACATGCCAAAGTATTCTACTCCAGTGTACATGTGCATGGATTCAGTACAGGATTGTGGAGCAATTTGATCGAGATACGAACATGAATAATACGCTACCATACATCGACAACTTGAAACTAAAATTACAAAATAATTATAAAGACATGAAACTACAGATACTATTACTCATAGAACTCTACATGACGTCATAGTGACATCATGGTCGTTGCTTATGACATCATCCATATCGACAGTGACCTCGATATACATGAATAATATTGATATTGTATAGACTCAGTCTATACAAAACCGCGTTCACAAGGCAAAATATTGATATTGACAGAATAATAAGAGAGGCAATTATATGTTACGAAAACTAACGAAGGCATTGGCACTCAGAGAAAGCATCACGGGGAGTGATTTGTCGGCCGTTCATGACATCAATAATAAGGAAATAACGTTATGAGTCATATGACGCTGTGCATAGCGATTGTGAAGTAATGCAAGTTAATTATGATGTCATGCATTGTGACCATTACCTCATGCATAAGAAGGGACTACTAGTAGTTTTGTTTTAGACGGCGTGTGTTGGTCGCAGCAGTCACAGTTTCGAACTCGGACACGCGCAGCGAACGACAAGCTTACGACTAAAGAGACGACGCGCGAGACCCAACCAACACGGAATAGGAGGAGAGTGCTGACCATGGCTCGCTGCCCTGCGTTGTTCTACAGACGACCGTCTGTCTCCAGAGCGAGCTGCAGGGCGTCACTGTTAAACACGTGTGTCCACTCCACGGGCAGCTGCGATGGTGCTTGTCTTCGTCCCCCAGTGCTCACATTTGCAGTGGGGTGAGCATGCTGTGGTGAATTCACCGACGACAGGTATTGCACCCAGGATGCGTAGAGCTTGGACTGCACGTTCAGATCTGTCAACGCAAACGCACACACAAATGCACATGGGTACACACGCATGTGGGCACACATGCACGGCCGATACTCCCTGAAATCCCTAAAACTCTGGGTGGACTTGAAAACGATCCCACTTCTGGGCTCACCACACTTCAGTTTTAAAGTGTTTGATGACAAGACGCAGAAAACAGACGGGTATCCACCCGGGATCAAACTGCATACACCCTTGCCCTGCGTGCATACACACAGACACAGACACACACGCACGCACGCACACACACACACCCACACACACACACACACACATGCAACTTACCCTTAAGCCACTGCATTGTGCTTCTACTTTCGGCATCCGTTGTGAACGCACAGCTACCCCACACCAACAGCCATTCGTCAGGCACAAAACCACGCAGCAGCTGCTGCAGCCTGGATTCGATCCTCGCCGCACGCTTCTCAGGACAGTCCTTAGAGTCGCGTGTTGCGCACGTCCGCAGTGTAGTGGAGGAGTGAGCCCTGATGCTGTCCAGGGACTGCCGTTCCAGAAAGCGACGCATTCGCAGCATATCCTGCTTGACGTAATCCAAGCTGCTGTTGAACTTCTCGATTTCCTGAGTCCGGGCAACGGGTCAAAACGAATAAACGGATTGTCAACGATCACACACATGCACACACATGCACACACATGCACACACATGCATACACACAGACAGGCAGATGCACATAAAATAACACAAATGTAAGCAAAAGAACAAGTTCAAAATCTAGGCAGGTAGAATCGAATATGCAGACCGACAAACAGACAGATACGCAGACAGACAGACAGACAGACAGATGGACAGACAGATAGACAGACAGACAGAAAAGCCAACATACAGACAGACAGATAGACAGACAGACAAGCTGACATACAGACAGACAGATAGACAGACAAACAGACAGGTGTGCATACAGATGCACACATACACAGATTGTGGTCCAGTCGAAACACCTTGCAATCATACAAAGAGTTGACTCAATGGATGAGTTATTTGAGGCTTTCTACTCAAACACTGCACCACACTGTGGCAATGTGAGCTCAATTTATGAACGACTGGTACGGTATTGTTCGGAGTATACGCCGCACATTAAACACCAGTAGGTCACCCAAAGAAAGTCAGTGCAGCATATACTACGATGGTCAAACTAACTGTGGTGAACTGGGTAGATGTCGGTATTATGTTAGTGACAAAACATCTGGGTGCGCCTTATACTCCAGATAATGCAGAACATATGTTTGTTGCTCCCGTACCTGGGTGATGGTGTGAGCCGTGGCTGTCTGTTGCCGTGGCGCAGTAGAACCGCCCTCCTCGTCATCGCCGCTCTCATCCTCATCGGATATTGATGATGATGATGTTGCTGGTGGTGCTAGCTCAACGTTGTCGGGAAGTTGCTCGCGTACTATCACTAGCCATGCGTCGGCACAATCGTCCTGGGACATCGGTGACAGTAAGCCAAACGACGCCTGCTCCGGCGGTAGAGAACTGACAGAGAATGACAGAGGTACACACGCACACAGATATGAGTGCACACAGACATGCACACACGCACACGCGCACGCGTGCACAAACACACACACTTACTCACGCATGCCCATCGCTGAAGCGATGATAGTGAACAGCTATGTTAGACATAGCAACTTGTGCTGGGATTCAACAGCTTGCAAGGCTGATGAATTGACCGCCACTATTTTTAGCCTGGTATCCACCACACAGCTGATTGAAGTGACTTTTTCTGGCCAGTGAATCCCTATTTTTCATTTTTCCATTTTTTTCTTTTTCTTTTTCTTTTTTTTTTCAACACACACACACCACACCACATACTCCGGCATACACTGGCTGTTGGTAACCACCCAGGAGAATGAAAGAAAAGTCAGGAAGAGACCGAGAAAGAGAAGAAAGACGTGTGCGACCATAATCGTCAGGAATTGAACCCGCAACCTCTCGATTGGAAATCGACTGCACATACCACTGCACCATATGGGACACACACACACACACACACACACACACACACACACACACACACACACACACACACACACACACACACACACACACACACACACACACACACTTCTTACAGATTGCCCACGGAGTGCTTGCGGGACTGACTCAGCTGCGGAATGTCGGACACGGCACCCAGCTCCTGAGCCTGCTGGTTGGTGCAGTACGTGAGCTGGATGTGCTGGAACCAGTTACAGCGGCGCAACTCACGTCCCAGCGTAGCCATGTCGGCTTGCAGCCGTGTACACGCCTGGTTAAACCTACATGAAACACAGGACAACACACAGTCTTTTCAGGAGTATACAAAAAATCAGGGTTTGCGTGAGACTTGGCCAGAGGCCAAGTTTTCCGCCTGCGCAGGAACGCCACCACCCACTTGTACTGCTATGATCAAATTAATTAACAGGGATAAATTGGGTAGATGGCTGCATTTCGTGACAAAAAATCTGAGTGCGGCTTATACTCCAGTGCATGCACAAGTGGCGAACACCCCGATCCATGTACCCCTTATACCGGGTCACAACTACTATATGAAAAAAAATCACGGTTCGCGTGAGACTCGGCCAAAGGCCCAGTTTACCGCATCCGCAGGAACGCCACCACCCTCTTGGATCAAGGCGCAGGCTATAAACTACCTAATATTCGCAACGGATTAATGTTCGCTATTTTCGCGAGAAGACAAAACGCGAATATTAATCAGGGTGAAATCAAGCTTCAACAGTGGGTGTATGTAGGTGGCTCCGGTGCTTCGCGCACTTTTGCCATCGCAAACTCGCTGGTTCTGAGAAATCGGGAAAATTTAGTAACGCGAATATTGGGCGATTAACAGAAGTTGAAAGTTGACTGTGGGTAGCAGCAATGGTATGTATGGCTCATGCACCGGGAAATGCGGTACATACCCAACGGATTCCGGCATGTCGTGCAGACGTTGCTCATTGCCAGTGGTTACGCGTAGCTTGAGATGTTGCCAAGCAACCACCGTGCTACCGGCGACCAGGGAGTGAGGCAGGTCGGCGGAACCGGTACAGGTCATGACGATAGGGCAGATCAGCTTGGCAGGCTGGAAAGCTGTGCGTACGTGTGTGTGTGTGTGTGTGTGTGTGTGTGTGTGTGTGTGCGTGCGTGCGTGTGCGTGCGTGTGTGTGTGTAGGTGGGTAGAGGTACGCAAAAGTGGAGACAGAGAGAACAGAAAATGAATATTCCGTTGCAGTGATTAGTTTTGCTTCGTTTTGTTCTGTTTTGTTTGGGCACACAGCTTATAATAATTATTATTGAATACAGTACCGTCCAGTGTCGGAGAACGATGCGTCAAATAGCGAACGGGCTAGAGTGTTACCAGCCAGGTAGGGGATACCAGGCTGTACATGCTACCACAGCCATCTAGAGATTTCTATACGAAAAGAATTATTTGAAAACGGCCTACAGTCCATTCATTGGAAACTGGCACCCTAACTTTTTGGTGTCTCTCTCGCATAGTTGTAGATATCGTGAAAACAACAGTACATCCTGCAGGGTGTGACCCGTGCAATTACTCCTTGCCACAATTTGAGGCCAGAAAAGTTCAAGAACAAGGAAATTCAAATAGAAATTCAGCCAGGTTTTACAAAATTGGGACAGTATGCCATGGTAATAATTATGTGTGCAGAAGCAGATCCCAAACCCAGATTTTTGAGATTGAAAGTGGGTTTTTTGATCCTCCATTCCACCCAAATCGGACTTTCAAAAGCCAGCGGGACTGTTTCCGATGAATGGACTGTAGGCTAGGACTCCCCCCCCCCCCCCCCCCCCCCAGGTCTTGAGCACCAGACAGTACTGGAAGCTAGCTCAACAGACGTTACGCGATTACATCATCAGTTGAGATGCTTTGGTGAAGTCGCAGACTCACGGCGGCACAGCGCTGCACTTGCACAAGCTAACGACTCACGCTGCATGCTCAGCGCCCATTAGAAACTCTGCCGCTAAATCATTCGCATAACCTCTATAGGGAAGCGAGCGCATGCTAGACTGCAGCCGGAGCACCATCCGAGTCATGCGACTTTCTTACCTTCGAGTTTCCGTGACAACGCCGATCTGCGGCGGCCGACGGTGTGAACGCCTGGTCGCGTGCTGCGCGGCTTAGTGGCCGCTGTCGCCGAATCGTGCACCCCGCGCAGCCGCGCCTGCAGCTTGACCAGCCAGGACTTGGGCGCCAGGTCGACGCACTGCAGCAGAAAGAGCGACTTGGTGTCGGAGTTCCCGACGCCGCTACCTCGACCAGCGGCGCCAGCAGTCGTGGCACCATGGGAACCAACATGGCCGCCACCGCCGCCACTCTGCTTAAGCATGTCCTCTAGCGTTTCCATGACGGTGGGAAGGAGGGTTGGCGAGGAGACACACGCCTTCACCAGGGATTGTCGGTACACCTGTGTGTGAACGTTACAGAAATAGCCACCAGAGCAAACGGAATTCTGTCAACGTTTCTGTCTTTGTGATCATTGTCAGGAATGGATCCATGTCTTCTTCGGAAAGCTGCTTTGGCAGCTACTCAACAAACTTCTTCCTCTACTTGTACCGCTGAGTTCAGGAAAGGTGACATGTGGAGATAGAACTTTCTGTACTATCAGTGTTAACATGCCTATTAAAGTGAGACTGGGTATTCTCGAGAATGCGGAAATTGCTTTGAAGGGAGGGGATGTGCCCTTTCATGATCAAGACAGTGATTTTCACAATTAGAGACTTGAGCAGGAAGTGAGCACGCTCAAAACCCTTACCTTTGCAGCCGTTCTGAGAACCTCCGTGATGGCGAGCTCCACTTCCGGGGAGTTCGGTCGGACGATGATAATGGGCTTACCCAGCTGAAGTAAGCTACTCAACTTGACGGGTTGCGACGTGAGGAACGAAGCACCGAGCGACTGCTCCGTGAAGCTAGCCATTTCCGTCGTAAAGTCGCGCGCCGTGCCCAGCACCTGCGCGAGCAGCAGTCGCTGCATCGGTGTGTATTTGGTGGGCAAGCCGGCCTCCGCAATCTGCTCCTTGGCTTGAGCGATGGCAGACTCGCGGGCTGCATCTGCTTCGACGTCCGTGAGCTTTGCAGCGGTGTCGTCCTCCAATGCTGCACTGGCCTCGGCTTCGGTAATGGTCGAGTGGCGGGCTGCATCTGCTTCATCGACATCCGTGAGCTTTGCATCTTCCGGTGCTTCGCTGGCTTTGGCTGAGCCGTTGGCGTCTTTGCTCTTGTCGTCTTCCACCGTAGCCTCATCCTTGTCCTTGCCAACATCGTCCTCTTCCTTGGTGTCAGCCTTGTTGTTCTCGCCATCCGTCCTCTGCTGGTGTTCGCCCTGCCTGTCATCACAATCGCTGCTTTTGGCATCCTCTGGAGTCTTGCTGCCGCCATCTTTCTTCCCGCCATCATCTATTGGCTGGCCCTCGCCCGTATTGTCAACATTCTCATCTTTCTCACTTTGCGCATTCTCTGTGTCGGCAGTGTCGCTCTTGGCATCATCGGCCTTCACGCTGTCCGCTTCTTTCTTCTTGCTCTCACTGTCTTCCACGTTCACGCTGTCTGCATCTTTCTTCTCCCTCTCATTCTCCTCCTGGTTCTCGACAGTTTTGTCGTCATCACTTTTCTCGGTTTGCTTGTTCGGCTCGCTTTCACCACCATCATTCTCGACGTCCCCGGCCTTCTCGCTGTCCGCATCATTCTCCTTACTCTCGTCGTTTGGCTGGTCCTCGTCTGGGTGCTCGTCCTTGGTCTGGACATCACCGTCACCTTTGGCACCAACCACATTATCACTATCTGCATCCTTGGCAGCATCATCACCACCATCCTTCTCCTTGCCCTCATCTTCCTGGGCATCCTTACCGATCTCGGTCTCTCCTGCCTTCTCGTCGGCGACATCCTCCCGTTCCTGCCCGTCTTTCTGCTCGTCCTCGTCTTTCTTGTCATCCTCGATGATCTTGGTGTCCTCTACCTTGCCGCTCTCCGTGTCCTTTTCGTCGCCATCTTCCGTTTCCTGGTGATCCTGCGTCTTGTCGACACTGGCGTCAGCGTTCTCCTTATTGTCATCGTCCTGGGCAGCAACATCAGCAATGTTCTTGGCATGCTCAGACTTCATGCTGGCTGCATCATCCTGTACCTCCTCGTCTTTCTGCTTGTTATCCTCTTCTTGGCTGTTGCTGTCGTCTTTCTGCATGTGGTCATCTTTGTTGGTGTCTTCTGACTTCCCATTGTCTGCGACAACCTGCGCTATCTCATCCTTCTCTTTGTTCTCATTCTTTTCCTCGCCCTCACTCTTCTCCTTGTTCTCATCCTTCTTGCCATCAGCACCATCATTGTTCTCGTTGTCCTCATCTTTCCGGTCAGGCTCATCATTCTTGCCATCCTCCGCCATCTCACCGTCCCCGTCCTCCTCCTTCACCACGCTGCCATTGTCCTCTTCCTTGGCATTCGGCTTGTTTTCATCGGTCTTGTCATCAGCATTGGCATTCTCGCTGCACTCGTCTTTCTGGTCGGTCTCCTCTTGTTTCTCTCCGTCGCTGTCCTTGGCGTCAGCTGAGCGGGACACGCTGGTGGGGGTTTCCCCTTGTGTGACAGGGGTTTCCCCTCGTCCGGCGGCAGTTTCCCCTTGTATGTCCTGCCTGGAGGATGCTGCATTGGACGTTCTTGACTGCGTGCCACTCCTGTGCATGTCAGCATCACCACCAACATGACCGTCACGAGTGCCTGAATTGACCAAGGTCTCCTCGGCTAGTGGCGTCATCGACGGCGATTTCGTAGCGGCACGGGATCGCGATCGGTGCTGCTGCGTCGAGCCTTCGGCATCGCTAGAGTCCTGGCTATCATCGACATCGCCGCCGGCGTAGGGTGATGTCGGCGAGGCACGTACCGGTACATCCCCACCACCGTCGTTATTATCCATGCTCCCAGGGCATCGCGAGGCGGGCCGTGACTGCGCAGAGCGGCGGCTGCGACGAGACGACAATCCGCCGTTGGTTGTCACGGGAATGCGAGACACGCGCGCGTACACGCTCAGCGAATCCAGCGCACTCTGAACCAGCGGTACCTCGGAGCTGGCTGTGACGACGTTTAGCGGGAGCTTGCCAAGCGGGCTGCTCTGAAGCCGCACCAGATGCAGGAAACGTGTGGTCTG